TGGCTTACAACACGTTTTTCTTGAAGCGCGCGAGATGCTAGAAGAACTCTACCTTCACGAGAAGTCTGTACAGAGCGTTGTTGTCGCGGCATAGTGGTGGTTGTGGAGAGTATCGCGTCAGGTTTGGTGGGGTGGGCCACTTACTGATGTGGGCCGCTTACTGATAAAACACGTTAGTTAGTTCTTTGTTAGTCATCACAACACAGCTTACTTTCTCGCCAAACCGAACAAAGACTTAGCTAGGTTTCCCCCAACCCATACATTCTTAATCCACCCTGAATTGACTGAAAATCATAGGAATTTGGAGTATAGTAGTATAGAATGCCACCCCTGCTCTGCGTTCTGGTCAACGATGATATCGGTCAATTACATTCGGCTTTGTTGTGGAAACTTCCGGACGTGCTTAGTCTTCCTACTATGACAGCTACGCAAGCTCGGTGTATCTTCCTGCACGTTCAAGGAAATCAATTCATACTTTCCTCTGTTCTTCCGTCAATTGCAGATTCACTGCTACAGTACCCAAGAGCACTACGTTCAATGCTTTGGTAGAAGGAAAGTATCCTGTCAGCATGCAAAAAAGGAGCGCGTTGCACAAGTCTCTAGTACGATGCGAGCTTGCAACGGCGAAACGCAGGGCGACTTGGTATCAGGACCGTGTTACATGCGAAGCGCGTGAATTCTCTACCCGTAAAGGTTCGGTTCGCTCAACGGTATGTACCAAGTATGGGTATCATCAAAATCTGATGTCCCATCTAATCTTGCGACACCGCTCTCTCTAGTACACTTCTAGCAAACGTATCGAGAATCTACCATTATGTTGAAACTAGTACTAGTCACTGCTATGCAACAGCTTGCCACTGCCGTTGCCAGATCGAACACGTCTGTTAGTTGGCTATTCCTCTGGCTCGTAAGATCTGAACTTAGTGACTGTTTCTTCAATGGTCAACTCAGTAGAACTGCTGGGAGGTGCATGTAAGTTTCTATACCTTGGGAGACAGTGTTGGTAACGCATATCACGTCGATAGCAATTAGGAATCTGATACCAGTGCATTAACTAAAAGTAACAAAAGGCCGACGTAGCAAAACATGAGTGACTTTGGGGTCATAAATTCTAACACTACTCTACACATTGAATATTAACTTCAACACAACCTTGTTTGTAGAAGGATACAAGTTAGGCTTCGTGGTTCTGTTGTGGCTAATTCCGGGAGTTGCTGTTTCTATTTGGGGTTATTCTTTTGCTAGTAACGGCGCCTTTCTTGTTTGTTTTTGAGATCTAGTGGAGGTGTGAGTTGAACTTAGTCACGCCGTTCAATGACGATATTAGTTACTAGCAAAATTGTTTCGTTTAGATGATTTAGTCGGGCTGGCGGTCTATATATATCTGTAGCCTAACTGTGAATGTTATATTGTTTCAACGAAGAGAACACTTATCGTCAGACAAGAAAAGGATAATTCTACTACTAATCTGACCCAATATTGCTATATGTCGCTCCAAAGAGAGAGCATGAATTTCGTTAATATTTCAATACACCTCACAGAATGACACTCTGCTTGGTGAAGAAGATTCTGTCTTTGTTAGCGGACATTGCATTATACCCCTATTGAGTGCAAACATCCTTGTTTGGCAGGCGAATATGGGATTTGCGCCTGATATTATGGGTAACATAGAAATATGAAATGAGATGTATAAGCATGTAAGAGAAATATGGGCAGTGCGGAACGTTGGTGTTGGTGATAGAGTAAGATAGGAGTTCGTATGCTCGAGTAGAAGGCTTTTGGTATGCTCACAGTGCCTAAATATAAGTCATCTTACTCTATACTGCGTGGGGATTACACCAATCATCTCTCTCAGTAGCCTATCCATTGTCTGGCATGTAAGCTATAATCAACGTACCATTCGTGAAATTATCGAATCTGATGTTAGAAAGACGAGTGGCTTATTGCAGCCAAAATCTGTTAGATGGTCAGTAATATCTCACTATAAACCGCCGTCGACTTTCATATCAACTCCTTGTGACTGAATAGAAAGCGTGGTCACTGGAAGCGTACCAATGCCTTCTCCTCATCTGATTTCAGTTTCGATTTCTCCCATGTCAAGGCTACCGTTGCCTTACTCATTTGTTACCAAATGAATATGGTTGCTGCAGCAGTTTCATCTTCGTATTAACCTATGATAAGGCCGAAGTCTATAATAAAGGGTGCACTGAAGCGTCTTGGACTTGATGTTTCGAAACTGGTTAGCTACAGTGCTGCGCCTTGCCATGTAAGCGAGGATGAAAAGAATGACAGAAGCCCTCCTTATGGATGTTGGTCTCGAGATTTAGTGTCGCGTGTAGCAAAATAGAACAAGTACTGACTGGAGGATAGTGTTAGTCAAGCACTTGTGGACCCCATATCTGCACTGTTCGCCATACGTATAGCGTTGCTTTTCTGCATTTTCTCCCACTTGATGATATCGCTCGACGAAACTTGTATACCCTTTGTACATTGAGAAATGATCCAACATTTATCTATTTATTAACTCTAATAGGGACGGCGCATCGGACGATGATCTGACACCGAGAATCATATCCAGCACTGGAGGCAGTACGACACAGGGCAGCCAGTAAGTATGTCATCATCAACACCGTTAAGGTGGGGGTGGCCGATCATTTCCACCGTGGTAGACCTGAGCGGGAACTACTCGCATTATAATATGGTGTTACACCACTGAAGGGTTCCAGTTCGTCACGGCGGTCATCAGACTCATCAAATCAATTGCCCAAGTCAATTCGATTTTCTGTCATAGCACGCGGTCATTCGTTACAATAGAACTCTCCTCAGGTAGAAAAACATCTTTGGGCTACTGCATGTAGTCGGTACGAATGTGAACAAGGTATATCTTGGAGTCCGAAGTGAAGTTGACGATAACGACGTGTGGTGGGCCGACGCGACCATGGACTTCCATAGCGCGCATCCCCCTGCTCATCAATCTATACGTACATTCGACTCTTCACCAACCGGCACCTTCATTTCGATCACAACAGACGTGGAGGCCTATATCGATTCTTGAGTATACCGCATCAATCTGTGGAACACATCAATGTCTGGCTTATCGAGTTCTTAACCCTTGAATATCTTCGCATCAAAAGCTTTTCGCTAGCTCGAGGGACGATACAATGAGCGCGACACTTGCACATGCATCGCTCCTCTAGAAACAGTAAACTGGGCTTAGTGAGTCAGTTTACTGTTTCGTTAAGCGATGGTCTAGCAGATATATTAAGGGGCAGAATCTTTACAGGTCGAGTGGTATGTAAGAGAGCTGAAGCACAATATATGATCTGTGCTAGAGATATGGATATTGATCTAAACAGTAGTGTGTAGTTCTTCATAGTAGAGGTCTACTTTCGGATGATATAGAGTTTCGCTACCAACTTAGCAGCCGATGTCGCTGCGCTCTCCACACAGTATGAAACTTAGCAGTTAACCTTGCCCCATCCACCCCACTAGTCTGCAATTATTTCCGGTTAATGAAACACCCAACAGATCGTTAGCAAGCAAAGAGTCTTCAACCTATGTCTGATACAACGGGGGACCAGCTTCAGAATGGTCAGAATACGATTTTGCGTCTGCAGCATCGCTGTAAAAAAAGAAACTAAAACAAGACAAGGGAATAGTTCCCTCTGATGTTCTGCATGTTTCAACTGATCGCATAGGACACTTCTAGATGCAGAATCAACATTCCGTTTCGGCAACAGTTCTTGAAGGCACCCGTGAGTCATTTGGTGGTGAGTTCTTATTTGCTGCTTTCTGCCCTTTTCCCCGTACACGGATGCACCATGATTTTAGGACTTAGCATTGGACTAAGTCCTTGGCCAAACATTCCCGAGTCAGGCATGACCCACATATCGAAGGACTGCAAGGCGACTGTCCAGCACACACAAGTGAGATCTTTGACGGCATAATCACTGAAGTCTAAACAAATGCAGTAAGTCGGAAGCCACAGGAAAGGGGTGAAACATGCTTGAGCTGGTACTATCGTTGCGACCATCGCTCAAGCCTGTTGCCTTCACACCTCTGTTTGATTCCAAGGAAATCTTTTGTCATCAATAAGAGTCATTTCACGCGATAGTCTGATTATTATCAATAGTGGAAAGAGGTACATAGACCTTTCGTTAGCTTTATTGGCAGTACAAATGATGTTTATATTATAAATTATATGCCGCGAAGTACATTATGATGACCTTTCGGGTGCTCATCAGCTTTCAGTGAGGAGCTTCCAATTCAGCAGTTGTCTCTGTCTCTATAGCTTTCAAGGTGTAAAAAATGTTTACAACGCTCTGAATTCCGAAAACCACGGCGGTGAGCCAGAACGTCAAGGCCCCATTCCAAGCAAACGGTCCACGTTTTACGCAGTGCATTGCTATGCCAGAACCCAACAGGATGGGAGACACGAAATTGACCCATGCGACTAGCGGAGGAAATAACGGCTTCACTCTTTGATCGAGAAATATGGCGCCTGCGAACGCCCAGCCTTGCACAATGAATGGGGCAAAAGGCATGAACGTCATTAACCAGCTCAGGTCGTTGAGTGCTTGAGTGATCTCTGGCGGTCGATCCAGCCGATATGCGGTTGTTGCGAAGAATATGGCGGGAACGGCGAAAGTGATACACGCCCAGGCCCCAGAAACTTCTTGTGCAGAGATGAGTGTGTGGCCCACGCCAGGGATGCGCTTCATTTGCTGCGACATGGCCGCAGTAAAAGAACCGTAGAAGGCTCCAGCGAGAAGGAAGAATGATGCTCCGACTTTGTAGCCCACATTATGATCGTGGTAGTGTTGTACGACTTGCTCGGCAGTGAGGGTTGGCGCGGCGGGTGGGAAGTTCCCCGAGGCAATGAAAAAGATGAAGGAGAATGAGGTATACAGAAGACCACTATAAGCGCACGCGCGATCTACAAGCTTGTTGGAAAGCCGAAGCTTGCGGGCCTGTGATGTGGGATCTTCGTGAAATGTATCGGTGGAATCAGTAGGCGCAGCATCACTAGTCTGGCTGACAGCAGAGCGCTTTCGCTCCATCGTGAAGCGCATTTTTTGTAAATGATGAACGAGTCTGATATTCGGAACTGAATAGACATTGCCAGTTTATAAACTATTCTGAGCCGATGGGCACTAGGAGTTGTCTAGTGCAGGGGACTCATGGTTGCGAGTCAGCCTGCTAGAAAGAACTCAGTCCTCTCATCAAACAGGGTATCTCTAGTAACCACGCTTATGAGTTACCACGCGAACAAATGATGACACAGAAACGAAACAACCACACTGATACATTTTCTGGGGATGTTTAACCCATTCAAGACAAGTGTCAGACTTCGTACTAGAAAAACAGAGAGAACACAGATGAAACCGCAATGTCTTGCTCATGGGAAACGCTCATTGTATGGAATAGAGTTTTGTTCCTGCAATGTTACACTTTTAATAATTCTCGGGTGACTAGCCGCAAAAGGATAGAGAGATAACCGTATATCCGGCTCAAACGTGGGTATGACTTCAGCGGTGGGGGGTATATTCTTCTAGCTAGAGGGCACCAGCGAAAAGGGATATGTCGTTAAAACTGTACTTAATACGAACACACCAGCCAGCCTGTCGCATATCAGAATTCCACCAAAATCATTCATCATGTATCTACAGACCTGTGCTGCCCTCTCCGTTGCAGAGCTGAGTATCTTTAACCTCATGCACGCTGCTCCCTTGACATACAACGTCATATACCGCTTTATCTTCTTATTTTCATTTCAGTATCTTTCCATCAACTTGTATTATATCTGCATCTACCCATTCTTCGTTTCACCCTTACGTTACATACCAGGGCCAAAAGATCATCATCCTTTCATCGGCCAATCTCTTAATCAATTCCGGGCGAATGGACCATACGAGTTGTACCTGTCGTGGAGTCAAAAATGGCCAAGTTCACCATTCATCCGTTACATATCCTTCGGAAATACCGAGACGCTTCTGGTTAATAGCTTGAGAGCACATCAAGAAGTATTATCTACGAAATGCTATTCATTTGTAAAGCCGCCTTTTTTCGCCAGAATCGTGGGTGAAGTGACTGGTATGGGCCTGGTATTTGCGGAGGGTGAAGAACACAGAAAGCAACGAAAACTGTTGAATGGTACAAACTTTGTTTATGACAAGGAATCTGCCTAGCGCTTGATACTGACGTCTCTAGGTATTTTTTCAAACCCAAACATGAAGAAGCTTTTGCCAGTTGTACAGTCACATGGAAAATACCTCATGAAGACTATTGACCAAAGTATCGGCTCCGATGAATCTGCCGTAGTGGAGGGTAATTGCATATATGCATGAACGGATATGACTACATGCTAAACAAGACAGTCGTATCACTGTTCTCCAAAGCCACTCTCGATATCATTGGTCTCATTACCTTGGGCAAAGAGCTGGATAGCCTGAGCGTTAAACCATCATTCCACGAATGCTACGATCTTATCTTTAACCAATCACCATTTTCGTCCTTTCTTACCGCTGTCAACACGTATATTCCGCTGCGAAATTGGCTTCCGCTGGACGCAAATAGATCTTTTATCAAGGCTAATGATGAAGTCAAACGCATCCTTCGACAGCAGATTCAACTACGCCAACAAGATATGATCAACAGAAAGAGTGCATCCCAGAATTCATCGCTACCAATCAGTCGCGATGTTCTTACCTACCTGCTTGAAGCGCCGCCTTCGGATCAACAGCAATGGACAGAAGACGAGCTACTGGGATATGTATGTCGTCACGCTTCGCTTTTGTTGTTCACATGCTGATAGCTCCCAGCTCCTTAACTTCATGTCCGCAGGTAGAACGCACTTGATTATTGTTTCTATAGAGGAGCGCAGCTAATGACGTCTAGGCCATGAAACTTCAGCTACCACACTGACTTGGGCGGTTCATGTGCTATCTATCCGTCCCGATATACAAAAAAAACTTCGAGTGGAAGTTAGGACGCTACCAACATGCAGTGACCCTGATTACACTCAGATTGAAAGCCTTAGCTACCTCAACAACTTCTGTCGAGAAGTTTTACGTGTCTATGCTCCTGGTAATTCCCCTCCCACCTTATTTTGGGCTATAATAACGCTATTTGCACAGCCGTCATGATTTGGCGCCAAGCGGTTGAGCCCGTCACAATCGAAAATGTATATATTCCTGCAGGGACCAATGTCATTGTGTCGCCCCAAGTATCGCAGTCTCACCCCCATATCTGGGGCTCTTCTGCAGATACTTTTGAACCGGACCGTTGGAACTCGCTCTCATCTGAATCAGCCTCGCCTTATGCTTTTCAGGCTTTCAGCAGCGGACCTAGAGTGTGCATTGGCAAAATGCTCTCCATGCTTGAGTTCAAAGCCATCTTAGTGGATATAATCAAGAAATATGACTTCGAGGCGGTGGAAGAAAAGCTGGTGTTGGAAAATTATCTCACATTACGACCAAGAGGCGGACTAAGGGTGCGATTCAGAGTCATTGAGGAGTGAAGGCAGAGTTGTAGAAACTCAATAATAAATGACTAGATGTCTGGATCAAGAAGGGAAAGAGGACACATAATTAGCATGCCTAGGCAGTGTTTATCGTTCGCGTATTGTTCTAATTGCAATCTAATTATGTCTAATCCAAGCCACAGTCTAAGAGGGTAAAAAAGACCTATGCACCGCTCGATACAGTAATCGTGATATCAGCATGGCTGATATGCTTAAACACTAAGCGATTTTCCCTTCACTGCAAGGGAGCGTTGCAAAGAAAACACCTAAGGGAGCAATAACAAGTTGTTGAAATAGGTATATAAAACACTGATGGTAGTGGTAATAACTGCCTTGAAGGAGAATATAGATCTAAGGCGAGACTTTATAGTGACTCAGGCTGGGCTATAACATCCATCAAAGTATACTTTGATCTGCACTTCCTTCGCGATGTCTTCTACTAATCATACTAGTAAGAACGCAACTCCGTTTCAAACAGGGAACTTTCAGTGTTATGAGCATGCAACTGGGGCGAGCAGTTTCACACTACCTACACTTTTAACCGTCACTGACTCTCCGTCCCCTAGCCCTCCCTTCCCCACTTAAGTAAGACGTCGCGCTTTCGAAATTGTTCGTTTCAAATAATCATAAGCCCTGCCAGAATACGGTTATGAATAATACTTGTTAACACTAACGTGTCACTTCTGTAAATGGTTTGTTAGGCATTTTAAATAAGGGTGTGGACACTAGCCTCTGAACTAACGGCAACCAATCAGTTTTCATTGCCAATTACCTACCGTCAATCTGCTTCGAATTCCACCTCATATAACACACATTTGGTTTTATTTCTTATACCTGTCACTACGTTCCAGAAATGTTACAAGAAAGGAATGCAACTGAGACGTAATGATGTACGTCTACGTAAGATGTTCGTTTTGCAATCGATTCATTAGAATCCGCAGCAAAGTAGCCAAGACGAGCATTCTAAACTCTGTAGTGCTCTGTGCATTTGTCTCGGAGTAAGATTATCTTTTGTGAAACAGTGTCAGGAGATCGTGACAGGAAGAAAGCGCTGCTGCTGGACAGATTTACTCATCGTGAATCAAAATCAAGTACCCTAGGTTCAATCAATCCTTCGACAGATTTTGTTTGATCACGTTCATTAGACCGAAATGGGGTGAGTCTCTGCCTCCGATGGGTGTTGCGAAACGATGTGTCACAGCTGGTGTAGGACTGAGTCGTCCCCCGAGTTCCTTCCTGTACTGTTGTCATTCTATCCAAGTCATGCTTAGGGTAAATCATGCAAAAAATGATATAAACTCATCAAGGGCCGGTTAAGCTTGCAGGTCATCATTTTCGCAACTCACGTCTTCCACTTTACAATACATAACTACTACTCCATCATCTGACTACACAAAATGGGTCATTCACGCCACGACTCCGCAAGCGAACTATCAACTCTAGGAGATGTCTCGAGGGAAGAATATGGCGAGATACTCTCAAAGTTTCTCGCCGATGTGGATTTCTACATGCCGCCGTTTGAATACGATTTCACGCTTGAAGAACCGGTAATGGCCTACTTCGCCCGACAGCCTAACTGGCCTACCCATCTTACGGACAAAGCTGTTTATATGGCCAAATGGATGTCCACTGGTCTTGGAATGTGCTACCCATTTGCCAAGAAAGACATTCAAGTTGCATACGGTATCCACGCCACATATGTGCTCTTCATCGACGACATCATCCATGAGCTGGGGGACGCTCTCGATGAATTTGAAACACGTCTTGTGAGCGGCAAACCGCAGAAATCGCCAATCTTACAATCGTTGGTGGACTTCTTGTTGGACAACAAGACGTACATGGGCCCATACGCTGCGGCGATGAATACCAAGGCCACTATCGAATTTATCTGTGGTTGCATCATGGAACGAGACTATGACGGCAAGGTTGTGCCACCAGTGGGCGCTAAGAAGTTCCCCGGTTATTTTCGCGAGAAAACAGGCTACACGGAGCCATACGCGCACTTTTGCTTCCCCGAGGCGATGTTCCCTGAGAAGGAGTATTTGCATGTGTACATGCCATGCATTCAGGACCTGATCGAGTTCATCAGCTACGCTAATGACATACTTTCCTTCTATAAGGAATCTGTCGTCGGTGACGAGCGCTTGAACTATGTTTGCAACATTGCAAACACTCATGGACTGAATGCATCTCAGGCTTTGAGGTTGGTCTGCAAAAACGTTACGGAAAACGTAGTCACTACTCGGAAGGTTTTGAACGATTATCCGGAGATGAAGGATACAGTTGACGAGTTCTTCCGTGGATACATCGCATGGTACCTGAACCAGACGAGGTACAAGTTAACTGATATTATTGTGAAGAATTCGGACGGCCAGCTCTTCAAACTTACGCCCGCTGAGCCTAAGGTATATAGAGGTAACAAGCAAGATGAAACTATAGTACTATAGATCTTTATGGACATTATATGTCATAATATAGTTTTCATAGTAGTAGTAAACAGAGAGGGATATAATTTCTCTTTGTATATAGTAGTAATATATGATATCTATTATCTCTAACTATTAGTATAACGCGGAGTTAGATAGGTCTAATTCATAATCTATTATATACTCTAACTAAGTCTACAGTTTTTAATACTACAGAGGGGTGACACGAAAAAAACGTCACTCAGAAAGTTGTTATTTGAAAACTTTAATATCTAGCTGGAAAAAATAGCTAAAAATAAACGGATTGCAGATTTAGAAAGCCGAGATCTCCTAGTTTAGCATAGTGGACCAACTATCTGCTTAGTCAGCAGCCCTCAGCAAACAAAAATCCCCAAACTAGAAGCTTGAATAAATCTAAACTAAATATCCAGATTACTCTATTGTTTTTATATAAAAAGGTCTAAGTCTAATATATATTATAGATCTATCTTTAATATCCAAGCTCTGACTGTTATAGTATACCTTTACTAGTTAGATCACGTGATATATAGAAGAGTCTGATTTTTTAGAGTATATTTATTTCTCGCTAAGAATAGAAGCTATTTTTTAGTGTACCAGCCCTTAGCTTCTACTACAGCTTGCCAACGCCTAGTGTAACGGGCTGAACGCCCTTTGGATAGCTCCTCGATGGAATCTCGGGCCAAGCTGCGCGCGCACCATCTGAACTACGTTCAGACCGAGCAGCGCTCAGACAACGCGCTCAGATACTCCGGCATAACCTTTCTCCGATAAGTAAATAAACACCACGTAAGCAGAGTAGATAGCTCCTTATCGAATACAACCTCTTGTATACCTCGCAATTGCTCCCTGGAGCGCAGCCCCTTACACCTAGGTAGAGATAAAATACGATTATCTATATCCTGTTGTGGAATAGCTTGCCACTCTTCAAAAATAGCCCTAGTAAAAGCCGCTATACTCTTCTGGTTATTACCTAAGCCTAAAAAGGATCTAGATCTTTTAGATAAATGGTTTTTAAGTAAACTCCACACATTTTCTATTGGATTAGGATCTGGACTGTAAGGTGGATGAGGGAAGACTTCAATTGAATTTCTTTTAAACCAGCTGGAAACGTTTTCAGTAGTATGCATTCTGAAGTTATCCTGCTGAAACTTCTAGCCTAGATAGTAGTTAGTTATATCTATAATATATCCGAATTTGGGATTTATAGCTCTTTAATTAGGTGTGCTAGATTAATTCTTAGATATAAAAATATATATATCACTTACCTGGTTTTATATTAGGCTATACTTAAGGTATTAAAACCTTACGGATATATTGGTGATTATTGAAGTTTGGAGAAGAATTTGGAGCCCGAATTACTACTAGATCAGATCTACCACCTATCCAAATTGCTCCTCAAACTTGGATAGTAATATCTCTAGCTATAACTCTATTAGTAAGCAAGCTAAAAATCGATTGAAATGTTAATAAAATACTAGACTAAAAATAGATACTTTTAGCCTATTAGGATTTTTTTTAACTTACATCTATTGGCTGTAGAAACTTGTTCTCGACCTTGGCGCTTATTTTGGCGTTTTCTTACATATTCTCCTCTATATCCTCGGTCTCTTTGGATTGCTGACTCATTTGAAGATATTATCCTATCTAATCTAATATTAGGTAGATTTTTCAGCATATCCTTAGCGTATTTTAATCTATTTTTAGCTTTTTCTTTGTTTGAAATTGATTTTTTCTTTGCAATATTAATAGAATAGCCCTCTCTTTTTAAAAATCGCTGTAAAGTTCTAGTTGAAATATTGGCGTCATTTTCAACTAATAATCGGCGATTTGTCTTTTTAGGGCTCCTAGTTAAGTCTCTATTGATGTAAGGGGCTCGACCCCGGAGGGTAGTCTTAAGCTCGGGAGCACGATCGGACAGGCCAAGGTAACAAGATTGTATTCGATAGAGAGCTAAGCTCTCGGCTACGTAGCTATCTATATACAATGCTGGTTGCTAGGGTAACAATCGGGCCGGGCAGGTGGAGTAAACGAGGTCGTAGACGAGTATGGGAGGCGAAGGGCGTTCAGCCCGTTACAGCAACGCCCGCACCGCCGCTCTCCTCGCACCCTCTTCGACGCACTCTCACCATCACCACGACTGCTACCCGCCTGTTCAGCTAATACTTCTTGTACTTCGCCTACAGTAAGAGTCTCTTCTGTCTGTACGTATCGCCGCTTGCAGCTTTAACGCTTATTTAACTCGTCAAGAGCCGCTCGAAGCGTACCCATTTCCTCCCTCATAAGCGTCATCTTATGTGCTATGTGCTAAGCCCCTTTACTTAGCTATACAACCTTCTCGTTAAGAGAATTTGCAGAAGACCTAGGGCGGTTTCTTACTCTCTGTCGAATAAGAGTACTTTGAGCCTTAACCTCGCGCGCGTTGCGTGATGTCTGCGCCTCCCAGGCGGCTGCCTGTCGCGGTGATTGTACTGGCGTCTGCACCACTACATCAAGCTTAGATAGCACAGCCTGTGGGTCATGTGGGACTAGACCAGCGCCTCTAAAGCCAGCTTGGATATTCTCCTTTATAATAGACTGCTCAAAAGCAGCCTTAAACGCTAGTAAGAAGGTCTCCTTGCTGATATAGTGGGTGCGGTTGCGTGCCAAGCCTGAAACAGCGTCGCCATACTTGCGCTTTAATGGCGAGAAGCAGGCGACGTCAAGGGGCTGCAACAGGTGAGACGAGTGTGGAGGCATGCAGAGAAGAATGATATTCTTCTCCTTGCAAAGATCTTGAAAATCGATGGAGCAGTGGCTCTCATGGCCGTCAATAATAAGTAGTCGATGCCCACCCACAGTAGAGCTCTTTGTATGGGTATTAAAGTGCTCTAACTAGGCAAAACTAAGCTAATTATTCGTCTAGCCATTAGGACTGACTCTAAGAACCTAGTTAGCAGGCGAATTCTTAAACTAGACGTTGATAAGCACCTTGCCCGCAAAGACAACGAACAGTGGTATCCGGCGACCCGACGCGCCCACGCCTTAGATCACAGTAACCCACTTATCGTTGCCTAGCTGTATCCGCTTCTTTTTCCTATATTCTTCTAGTGCTGTGATTAATAACTGTAATAAAATCTTGCCCATCATAAAGCTAGTTTCGTCAAAGTTGTAGATATTGTCGTCCACAATACCCCACTTCTGCCTTGTCGCCTGGACTAAGTCAAACCAGCGCTGGATAGCCACTGGGTCCTCGCAGGCGGCTCGCTGGTGATTATAGGGACGGCTCCAGCGCGTACGGAGCTCAGCAGTCCGCCTAACAAAGTTGTCAACCCAATTCTTGCCAATAGGGTTGCCACCACGCTCCTCTAACAGTTTATTGGCCATTGCTCGAACCTCAGCCTTTGTAGGGGCAAATCCACGCGCAGACTCTTCAAAAACACGTCTAATAATAGCCTCCTCTTCTAACTTATTTAGTAGCTTGAAATTCGGTTCACAGTCGCGTTGGGGGCGCTTTCCAGCCTGTTGATCAGAAATTGTACTTTAAGGCACGTTATAGATAGAGGCAGCGCGTCTTTAGCTTTAAACACGTTATAATTAGATATTCAAAAGAGTAAGTTAAAGATCTTATTTAGGATAAGTTAATTAATAGTTGTGTTGTTAAGACATAACGCGTTGTAGTATCAACGTCGACGCGCTAGTGGGGAGTGACCGACTCGCTTGGGTGACCGACTCGCTTATGAACCACGTTAGTAGTAATTCAACTAATTAATTTAGTATATTAAAACAGTTTATTAACCATAATAAAGACTAAAATAACGTGTTAAAGTTAACGCGCTAGTATAAAGTGGCTAACTTGCTTAGGTAGCTAACTTGCTTATGAACTACGTTATATAAGGCTTTATTAAAGATATAAGTAAAATATTCACTACTATTATTATAAATATTTCCCAACTCTTATATTACTTGGGAGTTTCAATAGTATTAGCGTCTTTAATACCCTTACACCTACTAACTATATACGCTAGTAGTTTAGAGTCTATAAGTCTTGATAAATTAACTTCAATAGTATTATAGCTTACTTTTTAGTTATAGTACTACTTAAAGTCTTAGTATTATTTAAGTAGTTTTTAATGAAAATTTTTATCAAGTCAGATGTAAAATCAATTGTAAAGTATTTAATAAAAAGTAAAAAGCTATATGTCTTTTATTTTCATCCTAGCTTAGTAGTAAGCATTTAACTTTACTTTTATTTTTACTTTTTTTAATTCATTCTTTTTATATCAAGTTTTTTAATTATATTATTAAGTAATTGTAATTTATTATTTACTACTTTAATAACGTATTCCATCACCAAGCGGGCCACATCACCGAGTGTGCCACTTTTTCTTGGCATCACGAACTTCATGTACGAAAACTTAGATTACTCTACACTAGCTATAGATGCTTCGTACGACTTACTTGTATCTAAAAGAGAATCTTCTTCTACATCTTTCTGGCACGTACGAGAGTTATGGCCTGTCCTCCCACAGGTTCTACAGTGCCGTTGACCTAGTAGGGCCCTTTCTTAACTACCCTCACCACGTGCCTTCTTTGATGTCGTACGACCAGCAGAACTACTTTCAGCTACCTGCAATGCCCCTGCACCAAAGTCTAGTGTCCCACCTGTCTGAATTCGCTTTCTTTTGCGCCCTCGGCGCTTTGTTACTGCTGCTAATTGCTCTTCAAGCTCTCTTACGCGGGCCTTTATAAGCACATTCTTATGCAGCATCTCCTCAGCCCCTTTAATAAGCTTTAAAAAGCCTTCTTATGCAGTAGTTAGCGATCGTACGAAAGACTCTCTTATAAGCTTTAATTGTGACCCAAATTTATGCGAATTACTTAGTGTCCTTGACGTCTAGGGTATTTCTAGCTAAGCTTCTTATAGTGGAGTATAAAGGCGTACGTTAAGGCGATTAATGACTCTCTACGCGTCGATAGGGACTAGCCTTGCTGCCTTAAAGGCCTTCTTGTAGTTATTGGACGTAAACACGTTAAAAAACGCGTCTTGAAAGGCTGGAAGGAAGCGCTCCTTATTAATATGCTAGACATGGTGGCGTGCCAAGTCTTGTACGCGTTAAGAGTACTTCTGCTTAAGAGGCGAAAAGCAGACAATGTTAAGTGGCTAAAGTATGTGCGATGAATGAGCAGGCATATAGAGGGTAAGGATCTTTCGTACCAGGCAGTAATCCTTAAATTCTTGGTTAAGGTGACTCTTATGGCAGTTAAGGATGAGTAGCCTGTATAACCCCACCTGACGCGTCTTTGTATGCTCGTCAAAGTGCTTTAACCACGCGAGACCAAGCTCATTGTTCGTCCAGCCGTTCTCTGATACTGAAAGCTTCTAGTCGTACGGTATATCCGCTTCTTTGTACTATGCAGAGATGTGGACGCGTCCCTTGTAGATAATGAATGGCGGGGTAGCGTATCCCGCAGCGCAGATGCTCTGGATGACTGTAACCCACTCGCGATTGCCTGGCTGCGTGAGAGTAGGCCTCGTACGACGCTCTGCGCCTGTGACTACCTTTATTGAGCCAATTACGCCCATCTGAAAGCTAGTTTCATCAAAGCTATAGATGTCGTCTGAATGAACTCTATACTTCTCAACCGTCTCTCGTACGAGCTTGAACCACGCGTTAATAATCTCTAGATCCTCTTGTTGAGTTCTCTAACGATCCTTTGCTTGACTAAAGGCTATTCTAAGCTCGTCTGTACGAGTAACGAACCGCTCTGCCTAGCATTTGCCTAAAGGCTCGCCATCTCGTTCGCGTAGTAGTTTCTCCGCCATATCTGCTACTTCATATAGACGGGGGGCAAATCCTCGCGAGTCTAGGTTAAGAATA